AGGTCCTGCGGAACTTCAAACCAGTGAGCCCGTCCACAAGGGCCGTTGCCCCACCTTACGCGACGGAGTCCGGTGTCGATATCTCTAAAATAGATGTACTCGTACAATTCACGGTGGCTGTCGACCTCCTTCGCAATGCTTTCTCTTGCATCTGCCCAGTATTTCTGGTGACCATACACGTGACTCGCGATGACCCGAAATCCGCAGTTACCATCCGCATCCACATTCAGGTAACTCACTATGTAGTTCAACATATGCCAGGGGATATTTTGCCACATTGAAAATCCAAATATATTTGTCGGTCTAAACTCTGCAATAAATATCATAATAATTTCACGTCACAATTTATATAATCATATAAATACTTTAATTAACGCTCAGCCATATTTAAAAAAATAAAATATATGACCTGCTTCCCCTTGTGACTGTTGAGAAGACGAACTTGTCTGTCAACGTGAAGAAGTGGTCGTACGGCTCGATTTTCGACCTCGCGATCTATCGTTGTACTCAAAAGCAGATGGTTTACGCTTAGCTGAATTAGTTTTCTTGGGACGACCTCGCGGGTTAACTTTAACCTCAGGTTCCGCATAATCCAGTTGGTCTGGGTAAAGATGACTGTACATGAACTGATTCACGTACCGCATCGTCGCGGGATTGCGGGTTTCAAGCTCACTCACAAGCGTCTGAAAGAACTCCGCATCTGACCATGCAGCCTGGCTCGCCTGGCTCTGATGACCAGTCCCTACAAGTATACGATAAAATAGTCAATGAATTAAACCAAATAATGTATTTTAATAGAAAATTATAAATAAAACATTAACCTTAAATTACCTGGCTCTAATATCTGTAGCGTTCTCCAGAACTGGTGAATCATTCCGAGATCAATCGGAATGTTGAAATCAACTGCGTTGCGGAGCAGACAGACACAAGGAAGTCCATGTGTGAGCTGCAATACACAGCCGCAGCTAGTGTAAACATCGGCGTCCAAGCCGTGCATCCTCGTAAGCTCAGCGTCCAATAAACTCAGGCAGTAATGCGAGACCCTCAGTATCACGCTCACGAAAAGGATTCCCTTATACCGTGTATTCTTCTTAGATCTCGAGGCCTCAAGCGCCGTCCTGATAATACGTTACATAACGTTAGATTATAATTAATTAATGCAGTAATATAATAACGCATTTAAAAATTACAGTACGTACTTGATTTCAGTCACTTGATTATCGATGTGCTTATTAATCTTCTGCCAAATGGTGTTTCCAAAATGTGTCACTCGGTTGGTCCAAGCCTTCACAAACTTCTCGCGGTGCCCTAACCATGTGCTCTCCACATACCGTATCACCTCAGGAGACTTCGAATATTTTGCGTGTAGCTCGGCAACGGCATCGGTGTAGGCATCAAACGTACTGGCCTCTGCAATCGCCTTCCACGTACTGTGCGTGAAAATCTCCGAGAATTTTTTACTCTTCCCAAATAGTTTGTAGGCTTTGTCTTCCACATCCTTGTTGATGTGCCACGTGCAGAGTAAGTGGGCTGATTCAGGAAAATGCCTCTGAATAGGAGTGAGTAAACCCAAATCTCTGTCACTGACAACAACATAAGGATATACGTCTTGGCCTATCAGTAGTCTCAACTTCTCTAGAACCCAGTCGTAACTGGCCTCTTTCTCGTCCCTGATGAGCGCATACGCAATTAGAAAGTTCTGGTTGCACGGTGTCATCCCAATCATCTCGACCAACGGCATCTTGTACCTGTGCAAATGAGACCAAGAAGACAAAAAATATAATCAAATAAAAGTTTACTTAATCAAACACACTATTTAAGATTCATACTAATAAAGTATTTATAAAGTAACATACCTGTTGGTTTTATACGTGGAATCTATGCCGACATACCAGTGATATGTCCGGAATAGATTGATCGACGCAGGATGGGCCATGAATATATGCGTCAACGCTTTCGTGTTCGGATCGGATTCTACATAAACTGTATACTCACTGCTCACGGCCAAATGCATAAGCTGGGAAGGAACGTCTCTACTGTCGAAACTCTCTTTCCGCAGTCTAAAGTTATATACCTGTCACCGATTAGCGTTAATTATAATGATTATTATAATTTAAAAAAATATTATGTTAATAAATAAAAAAGTATATTAATGCGATTAATTTGATAAAAAAAAATTTAACTATCACAATAATAATACATTAGTAAATATAATAAAATTTATTTATTATTACAATAACTTTTACATATAAAAAATTACTAATTATCATAATTAACTTCAAAAAGTTAATTAAAACATATATTACAAGATATAAATATATACACCTGTCACACATGAACGTTGTCTCCCGGATTCTTTTCCTTCAGCGCGGCCATAATTTTTGTCGGGGCCAACTGAGCGTTCGTCATATCACGAACAATTTTCTTAGATGAAGCGCTGAGGCCGCTCAACTGGCTATGACCCTCAGGATACACAGTAAATGTATGGTTATGGTAGCCCTTCTCTTCATTGCTACATCTACAGATCCTCCAGTATGGAGCGCCGGACACCTTTTTTACTTTGATCTCAAAATTGCAGCCGCACTTATTCGTTTTTATCTTTCTAGAATTTTTGCTTGTGCCTCTGTACTGTTCGCCTCTATGGCACTTCAAAAGCCTGACCGTTTTCTTTTTGTGGCTCGAAATTATTAGTAGGAAACCATTCAGTATTGCCTGGTGTTTTGCAGCTTCAATAGCGTCCTGAGCACTATTAAATAATGTACAGGTATCGAAACGCAGACTGTAATCAACACCATCTCCTCCAAAATCTTCCCATGACTCCTGCTATATAGTACAATATTTATATTTTTAGAACATGTTAAATTAAGATAATTAATTATAGCATGTAACATAATTTTTTGTAACTCATAACATGATATTATCTAACGTCCAATTTATAGCATAATGAAGTCTAACATGTAACATAATAATTTGTAACTCCTAACACGATCACGATAATATCTAACGTCCAATTTATAATATAATCAACTATAACATGTAACATAATAATTTGTTACTCCTAACACGATACTATCTAACGTCAATTTATAACATAACCAAGACTAACATGTAATATAATAATTTCTAACTCGTAACACGATAATATCTAACGTCCAATTTATATTATAATCAACATGTAACATAATAATTTGTAACTTCTAACACGATAAACGTCCAATTTATAGCATAATCAAGTCTAAAATGTAACATAATAATTTATAACATAATAATATAGTCCAATTTATAACTGTTGATATGCAAAATTGTATCAACGTAAAAATACTATTCGAATATGTGGTAATTTACTCTTTATTCATATGCATTTTTCTTTGTTTGTATCTCCTCATATTGAGATGAGGGAGAAGGATGAATAGTGAGGGAGGAGAGAAAAAATAACTCCCCCATTACAATAGTTGACCCCCCCTCCCACCCCCCTTTATAGGTCCTCTCATGAGTGTCCAAAAAATAAGGACTAAAATACTACAATACATTTAATGCTATGTGACAACCGAGGGGCCCACTTGTGACGATCGATGGCTTCGATTGACGTCTACTTTATCGGCAATTATCGTAGCTACTGGCGCGGCTTCTTCTTGATATATGTGTCATCTGACTACTTCGTGATCCGTTCGGTTCGGTAATGGTCGGACTCGTCGGCTGGGGACCCGGTCGGCTTTTAGGCAATTGATCTTGAGAACCTATTTGTATATTTATTTATTATGTATTTTCCACCCCTTGGTTGTCGGGCAGTTATTTATTATTTTGTTTACCGTTTATTTAATAGGAGCCAAATTGGATATCAACAATAACATAACTATTTCGAATATATAACATAATAATTTAAAAAAAAAAATAAAAAATTGTCTGGCCGGTCGAACCGGACAGACCGGTTCCGACCAGCCGTCGTTTTCGGACGGCTTTTAAGCCCTCCGGCCGGCCGGTTCAGACATAGCCCGTCCGACCGGCTGAACTTTTCGGACGGCTTTTAACCCGTCCGAAAAGTTCGGTCGGACGGCTTATAAATCGTCCGATTCCGGCGGCCGGACGGGCTAAAAGCCGTCCGGTTCCGGCGGCTGGACACAAAAATTTTTGTACCTCTGAATTTGACGACATTTCACCGTACACTTTCCTATGAGATGTTTAGAAAAAATAAAAAGAGCAAAATCGTCCAAGAAGGGCGATGAGTAGTAAAATGAGGGGCGATAAATAGTGTCACCCTTTTATATTTGTTCTTTTACCTGTAAAAATTGATACAAAAGATAAAATAAAATTTGTCATCTCCAAATAGTGGGAGGAAAAAACAAAAAACAAAACGAGTTTCGAACAATACACGCTATTATTCTTGTCCCTTTCTGGTTAACAGTTTATGCTGTAGTCTAATAGCTAAGACAATAGACAAGTTAAATTAAAATCATAGATAATAAGAAAGAGATAGAATTAGACCACCCAAGTTGGTTAACATCCACGTTAGAATGAAAATAGAAAATCCCTTGGAAACGCAGAAAGCTTTGATTGAATCAACCAAACTTGTCTCAGGTCGTCTACTAATATATTCCAAGATCCCAATATAGTCAACTTTCAATATTTCTTCCTTCACTTCAAAACTAAATATTACCCACTTTAATTTAAAACCTTATTTGTTATTACCAATATATACAATCATTTCATATCATCATATTTATATATGAAAATTTCTAATTCTCCCCCTTCTGTATAGTTGAGCAACTTTTTAAAACAAACACATTAAATATTAGATTTTCCAATTCAAGTAGTGCTCTCAAGTCTCATCTCCCTCTTTTCTTCTTCATTTACAATCTACAGTTGCACACCACCAAACCCAAACCAGCTTTTTTCCCCACCCTTCCAAACTTCAATTCACAACCAATATTTACACTCTTCCCCCAAATAAATAGTACAAACAAGATTTACATATATATAAAAAAAAATAGCGCAAAATCGAGATGGGTTATCTCTCGTGTAAAGCCGACTCGTCCATCTCAACCGTCGATTCCCATTCCGCCGGTAAAGAAAGACCTGTCAAGATCCAGCAATTCAGCTACTCGGACCTCGAGCTGGCCACCGCCAACTTCTCCGACGCCAGGCTCCTCGGCCGCGGCAGCCACGGCCTCGTCTACAAGGGCCTCCTCCGCGGCGGCCGCCCCGTCGCCGTCAAGAAGCCCTCCCACAAGACCCAGAGCCCCTCCGAATTCGACAACGAGATCGACATCCTCTCCCGGATCCACAGCCCCCGGTTCGTCAACCTCGTCGGGTTCTCCCGGCCCGACCCGACCCGCACGGACCGACTCCTGGTCGTCGAGTTCATGAGCAACGGCACCCTCTACGACGCCCTGCACTCCAGCCCCCGCCCCCCGACCTGGGGCCGCCGGATCCGCCTCGCCCTGCAGACGGCGCGTGCCGTCCACGCGCTCCACTCCCAGTCGCCCCCCGTCGTCCACCGCGACATCAAGTCCGCCAACGTCCTCATCGACCGGAGATTCAGCGCGCGGCTCGGAGATTTCGGCCTCGCCCTGCGGTGCGGCGACGGTTCCCGCTTGAAATCGACCCCGCCGGCGGGGACCATGGGGTATCTGGACCCCGGGTACGTCACTCCCGACGGCCTGAGCACAAAGACCGACGTCTTCAGCTTCGGGATTCTGCTCCTCGAGATCATCAGCGGCCGGAAGGCGATCGACGTGTCCCACTCGCCGCCGTCGGTCGTCGACTGGGCCGTGCCCCTCATCCGGAGGGGGAGGCTGCTGTCCGTCTACGACCCCAGGGTCCCGCCGCCGGCGGACGTGGCCGTCCGGAGGACGCTGGCGGTGGTGGCGGCCAAGTGCGTGAGGTCGTGCGGGGAGAGGAGGCCGTCGATGGGGGAGGTGGCCGAGTGCCTGGCGGAGCTGAGCCGGCTGGTGCCGGTGGGCTCGTGGAGCGATTTTGCAGTGAACCCGTGTCTGGCGGTTGAGGATGTGGGGCAGCCGGCTAGGTCGAGCGGTGGGGACGACGAGGGTAGAATTGGAAAAGGGGCGAGGAACCCGAGGAGGGTTTACTCTGACTTGGGCAATAGGAGCAATTTGATGGACTTGATGTCGGCCGGCCCGAATGTGGGCCCGGAATTTTTCGATGGTGCTGGCCGGAGGAGTTTAATTTGAGGAAGGGTTTGACCGGGTTTTATTTGGTTGACTGATAATTGACCGACGGTTGACTGATTGTTAGTTTACCTCGTCTTTTTCATTTTTTTTTTTTTTCAGATCAAATTGTTAGATTATGGATTGCCATTCGAGACTGAGCGTTTTCATAAATTTCATTGATTAATAATTTGTGAGTCAAAAATGTATTCGATTGATTCAAGTGTATATTTCAGTTGTTTGTGGCGTTCAACCTCATTTTTTTTTGGGTAATAATTAAACTAGTACTGAGTTGGAAAGATTAAATTTTGATGGCAGGGAAAGTTTGCCAGATGATTGAAATTTTTGGGCTTTTTTTTAAAATCGCTTTGATCACTCAGTCAAATGAACAAATATGATGACCTCCACCATTTTTAATATCATACATGACGATAGTTTTCTGTATTTCTAGTGCTATTGTTCTCCATTGGCATGAAAAAGACTACACAATAACGCAAAAGCCAGGCAGCAGATAGATATATGAGTTAAGCCAATTAAGGCCACGTTTGGTACAGGAAAACACGAGCTAATAGACAACAGTGTGTTAATAAAAAGCAGCATGCAAGAAAATAGGATTCTTTTTAATGTCTAATTGTGTGTTTTTACTTTTGCATGTGCTTTTCCCTTTTTTGGAGAGATGGGCTCATTTTTCTTGCAGTGCTAAGGGCTTTTCTAAAGCAAACATGATTAAATGTCTCGTTAATTTGACACCAAATGTGAAAATCTTATTAAAGACTGTGTGCTACAGGGTGTTTGAAAAAATCATTTTTATATAATAGAAATGACTATATAAAAATATCTATCTATATTTTTATTTTGGAATCATAAATATGAATGTACGATAAATAATAAGTAGCTAATAAACTGATAACCATTTAAAATAACAAACGTTTCTCAACCTCAAATGTTCAGAAATGATAATCATTTCAATTATATTTATAAAATTATATATATCTAAAATAAATATTATTCACTACTCCGCTAATTTTATTTTGAATTTTTAAAAAGCTTTCCAAACATGGTTACATAAAATTATGATATACATTAAGAGCATCTCTAATGTATGCTTTTGAAAGAGTAAAAAGTTATTCACCTCATCTAGATATAGAAAGTGTCGTATTCAACTAACGACCTACATGCTCTGGTGGCTCTGGAAATCCAGGAACCTTTGGCTCTTCCAAAACATCCACATTCCGGCTCACCATATTGTCAAAACAGCTCATAAAGATTGGCTACAGTTCATTGCGGCTTCCAGCTCTTAACAGTTTTTGTCAGTTTTCTTTTGTTTCAGTTTGCTCAGCTCCCTTCTTTGCTGTTTGGGTTTCTCTTTTTGCTTGTAGTTTGGTTGTGGTTTTAGATGCTTCTTTGGTTTTTCTTTGCTGTTGGTTAGGTTTTAGTTTGTTATTGGTATTGATGTCTCTTTGGCTTCCTAGGCTTGATTGCAGTGGGGAGATTCTTAGTCTCATCTTTTCATTTTAGTTTGTTGAGGTTATAGGCCGCTTGCATGCGTGTCCTCTCAGTCTTTGATTTTAGCAGTCGTGATTTGTACTTGAACATTGTATTTTTCTTGAGTTATAGTTATCTCTATCGTTCTGGAAAAATCAGGGGCGTAGCTACTTGAGAACCAGAGTGGGCCTAGGCCCACACTCAAAAATACAAAGTGAACATAAAATTCTCAAGGGTCCTAGTAACTTAAGTAAAATAAGCTTATTTCAAAAACATGGTAAGAAAAGTAGATTTAGGAAGAAGAGAGAAAAAAAAAATATATATATAATAAAAATAAGTTGAAAATATATTTCTTTTTTCAATAATTCTTGAAAATTAATGGAATATAACTCTTATTTTATACTTCACTTCATTTATTGATTGGTAATTTTACTAATTTTAATTTTCCTGATATTATATGCTATTCAATTAATTTGTTTGTAATTAATATCTGATAATTAGTCCCTTTGATTGTTTTTCTTTCTATTAGGTCAACAAATATGGTTTGAATATTGTATTTATTGTTGTTTTTAAATCTAAGAGAAATTTGTAATAGATATTTATTAATGTATAGGTGTTAAAATAGTAAGATATGTTTAATTTGAATGTATAACTATTTTTTTTAAAACTTTCATAGAGCGGATGAATAAAACCTTTAAAATGGCCATATCAAGAAAATGTGAAATTATTATTGTCTTGAAAATTTTATGTATTTTCTTTTTATTTTTTACTTAAAATATTATTTTTATTTCTTTTTGTCTTTGATTTTTACTTATAAAAGATAATGTTACGCTACTTTAAAAATTTTAGGCCCCTACTCATATAGATTGCTAGATTCGCCCCTGCCTCCAATGCATTAGATTATGGGTCATTTCATGCTTATGTGTAAAAAATTAATGTTAACATTGTCAAGCTCACTTTCTAATTTCTCACATTCTTTCTAACATGATGACTCAGCATTTTAATAATTATTTGACACAAATTTTGAGCTTTTCATAAACTTGGAAAAATCTCACCCTTACATTTATCCAAGAAAACATTTGAGAATTTATTTGAATACAGTATAATTATTTGATGAGTTACAACTAAAATTTAAAAAAGTTATCAATAATAATGTCCTGAAAAGTAAAATATTATATTCGTGATATTTGTTTGTTGAGTTATTGCAATTTTAATATTTTGTTGTTTTATTTTGAATTGATTACAAAAATATTTATTGTGTGGTTATACATATTGTAACTGAGAAATTATAGAATAAATAATAATTTTATAAATTTGATGATATCAATAAAAATTAACTGAATCAACAAAAAATAACATCATGCATATAATTATTGGAATTTGTGGTTTTTTTCTAATATACTCTTTGATTTTATTAATAATTGAATGAATCTACATATACAAATTGTATGGTTGTTGAATGGATGCATTGGAGGTAACAATTCAAATGAAAGTCCTATTCTTTTAACATTCAGTTCATGTAGATTAAACATTAATCCATTGATTGACATGCGTTCAAATTTAATTAATGTTGAAAGTTGAGCATTGGAGATGCTCTAACTGAGTCGATCTCTCATCTATTAATGTTATCACTACAGGAAATGTATTTTTTACCAACGGAATAATCCGTTGGTAATCACATTTCCTAACAGAATGCCAACAGATTTTCTTGTTACTATATGGCTTGTTGCTAATTATTACCAACATAAAATATGGAAAAATTGCAACAACTTATCAACGAATTTGCAACGGAAATTTTCTATAGCATTATCAAGAGATTCTTAACAAATAATGTAGTTGCTAAATAATTTTGTTGGTAAATTAGTAACAGAAAGTCAATAGACTAGTCACAGGATTGAACCGATTGATCCCCGAGCCTCCTTCCTCGAGCTCCGGTGACCTACAATGCGTTGGGAGGGAGTCCCGGCATAAATACTCCGACGCTCAAGTCAGAACTGGTTTAGAGAATAAACTGATGTATTATAGACTTGCAGAAAATCTATGGAGTCATCGAATGGCTCTCTTGTGGACACGTGTCAATAAACCATTTGTAAATAACTATGGATAGCTCCATAAGCCGAACCATCCGACGGCTCCATAGAAAAACCGAATAGACTTAATGCGTATAAATACGATAATAATAACATAAAACTCGGTTGCCCTTATATAGGGTGAATGCCTTGGTGTCCATGAGCTTTGCTGAGAAAGATATCAAACCAGATTTTTTTTCCTAACTTATCACATCTCAGTCCTGGCAAGTCTCCTTAACAAGCTATATTTTCCATCCTATTGGGATTCTTTCCCCCTTTTACCACACAACTCTAAGGTCCCTAGGTAGTAACCACGACCCTCTGACCTTTTCTTGCCGAGGTCGATACCTGACCTCTCCGACTTATGACCTCGAAACCTCGAGGTCTCTCTTCATATTCGAGTTTCTCGAGGTCGTTACTAGAGGTCATTACCTCCAGGTTTCTTACCAAGTCAACCAGTGCCTTGATTTACATCCACAAGTTCCCTGACTAGGTTATCCCCTTCTAGTCGAGTTGGAGCCCTTCTGAACCGGCCCACCCGTGCTAAAAATGGCAAGTGTTTTGACATTCTGTAACTGGCATGCACTTAATCCAAAAATTGTGTATAGGATAAATTATGTAAATAATGCATTTTACTGCCTCACCGAGATCCCCTCCACCGCTCGCTTCTTCTCCACCACCATTCGCGTCTTCGCCCTCTTCCTCGGCATCGGCCTCTCTGCCTCCCCCGGCCTCGCTGGCACCCTCTCCGGGTCCTATGACGAGACTCTGAGGGCGGAGGTTTTGAAAACTTGAGTGAATGCAGCTTCGTCTATGGGTAAGATGTTCTCACCGACTGGAATATTGGCAGCTCGAGGGGAGTAGAGGCATGGATTTTTCGGAGGGTGGGGCTGTACGGTGTGGTCGAGAAGGATAAAGCGACAGTGGTGTTGGCGGCGGCGTAACAGATGACTGGGTTGAGAAAAATCTAGCGGTGGCGACGCTCGGTGGATAACAAAAGGTGAAGATGAATAAGGTATCAAATTCAGAGATTGTGTACAGATAAATATTATGTAAATATTCGCACATTATAAACCGAGTATAAACATGCATTCACGAGCTTAAGACTTATTTTCGATTTTCTATTTCCTTGAGTCCACTTCTAAGGTTCTAACAACCATAAAATGCAACATCTTTTTTNNCTACTAATTAAAAAAAAGTAATTGTAGATATATGCTTATATGTTATATAAATTAATATAGGTTATAAACCAAGTATATACATCACATCAACTTTAGTTTACTATTCATCTTCTCGCATAATTTTAACTAACCATCACTTCACACCATCTCTCTCATACTTTTACATCAAATCAACTTTAATTATTTAATTTTAATTATTGTTTAATATAAAATCAAAAAATCTCACTAATAACTAATTATGCTACGTTTTTCAAAATTAACTCTGATTAACAAAAAAAAACTCATTTTGAGCGTATACAAACATGTTCTTAGTCTTTGTTATTTTCTCCTTTGTACTACGATAGAGATTTGGGCTGATAATTTTGAGGACTAAATGAGATAGGCCCAACTTGATGGGCCATCAACAATTAGCATTTAGGGCTTAGGGTTCAGAAATTTGGAAGTGAAAAGGTTGTCATACACCAGTATCGCATTGTTGAGAGGGAGAGAGAGGGGGAAAGCGAGAAGCAAAGATGGGGAAAGCAAAGAGCTCAAGGAAAGGAAAAAAGGCGTGGAGGGCTAATATAAGCACCCAAGATTTTGAAGATTTTTTTGAGAAGTCCACTAAAGATACCCTTTCTGGCGGATCTTTGGCCGACGCCCCCAGTGATTCTCTGTTTTTCGTTGATAAGTCCAGAGGTACTAGACGAACTCCTTTAATTTTTCAATGTAATGATGAGTTGAAGAATGTGGACAGCAGCTATTGATAATAATATTCTTGCTTTGAAGCTGAAGAAATGATCGATTGATAGGATGGCAGTAACTTTGTTGACGAAAGTTTATGATTCTAGTGAAAAATATTTTGAAGGTAGGTGGGTTTAGGGCTTATCCGGTACTTTTGACCTTGAGCTTCAATCTGACTGGAGAAGGAATAACATGAGTGTTCGTATCAGCATATTAGAAATCGTCGTTGGTAGCTTTATATTTGTTTTTTTATGTGGTTTGTGGGGCCAAAATGTTGCAGTATTTGGATTTTGATAGATATTCTATCTTGCTTGCTGCTCTGGTCATTTTGGGTGGAACTTGTGGCTATAGGAATGAGATAAATTTATCCAACTTTTTCTCCAAGAAGATTCTGCTTTGTTCTCAGATTACTGAGCTGCCCTAATAACTATCAGGATAATGAACGAGTTCAAGCATAGGGCTTTTGTTATGTGTCTGGTATTTGTAGTCATGTTTTTGAACTGAGATCTTTTCTCTGTAACAGATTAGCCATATTCTTCAATCTGTAATAGGATTTTTTTATTTTCAATAATATCTTGATGATTTTTTTTATATATATATTTTTAAGCTACTCTATTCACCTGTGATCCTGGTTCATTTTTCAGTTGTAATAGTGTATTAAATGGTTTGTGTATTTTCATATGCTTCTGAGAATGCAAGTGAAATGAAGGTTGATGTGTTTTCTTTTTATATTGGCAGATCTTTCTGTCAAGCGAAAGATTGAGAAAAGTAGAGAAAAAGTACTACGTTGTGACAGTCTGTTGCAGAGAAACCCTTTTGTTAAGCCCATTCCTTCCTCTGTACAGAAGAAGAAGAAATCAAACAAAGCTGTTAAATCTGTTCAAAAAGGCAAACATGAAGATGCTGTAGAGGGCGGTGCTAAAGTTAGAACTGATAGCCATTTATTTTCATGAATGCAAAATCTTGGGTTAAACTTTTTATCATAATGTTTGTTTCCATTCATTGCAGAATGAGAGTGGACATGATTCTGGCATGGTTGATTTATGGGAAGATAATGGTACTTTCTTTGTTAATTGTCTTATTTTTGGTGATTTTTATTTCCATATGTCATAGCTAATAAATGTCACGATTTATACACTTGCAGGAAATAGTGCCAAAATTAAGAAGGTATTTTTATTCCCATTGTACTTTTTCAGCACTTATTTGTCATTCAACTGAAGACTACAGAAATAATGTTTCTGTAGGAACTGTGTAAAACATTTAGAATATATGTGTGAGACATATCGTGTTAGTTTCCAAGTGAATTCTATAGGCAAAAAGTCCTCTCTGTTAATACTCATAGTTGTAGGTGTGCATAACATGTTTTGCAGCATCTGTGCTTCAGTGGTTAACTAACAGTTCTTAATGACAGAAACTTAAGTCTTCTGTTATACCTGCTGTTGAAGTTGAACCTCCTGGATGCTCATTCAATCCCGAACCCAATAGCCATCAGGTTTTTCTTTTTTCTTTCTTATAATTACTTAATCATTAATAGTTTTGTTTGTACTATTTTGCTTATTGGCATTTTTAATTAAATGGATAGATGCTTATATCCTCTTGATGGTACACGCAGGATGCGCTAGCTTGTGCTGTAGCTGATGAAATGCAGAAGATTTATCGACATGAGTTGGGACCCCAGCCTATTCCTTTGGTTGTTCCTGGGGAAGAAGTTGATGAAGAAGATGTTAGTCTCATTCTCTTGTTACCAAACTAGGCATTTTCATAATAAATGATCCTCTTCCATGCTCAAGTATATGAATTGTGAATTGTGAAATGTGCATCCACTTTCCCGTTGACCTTTTGCGCATTGCATCAGAAATATTTCCTTGAGGCGGATAGAAGTGATGATGATGCGCAAGATGAAAATCGGACGGATAACGAAGATGAAGATTTGGAGAAGAGGTTTGTTTTATTCCTATATATAAATATATATATGTTCCATTTTTTGTATCTTTTCATATTCTTTTTTCATTTTTACAAGGCTAGCAGCGTTCTTAAGTCGTGTCGTTTTTGTTTTCTAGTTTAAAGTTTCGGGGATTTCTTATCTGGATAAAAGTATTATTTCCTTGTGATGATGAATGATGGAGACAGCCAATTTATAGCAATTTCTACAATGTTACTGACCCAAAGAAATCCCATCCACTCTTAGAGCACCCAACGTGAAATACGCACAATGTTGTGTATTGATCTCTGTTTTTCCAACTATAAACTCTACAGGCCTCATAAAACCAAAAAGGTAACTCGGGTCGTGTTGAATCGGAGGGCTAGGAGAAAGGAACAATTGAAAGCTGAAGCTGAAGCCAAGAAAATTGAGGGGCTCTCAAAAGACATAGACAGGTTGCCAAAATGGCTATGTGGCAGAATTTTCATTTATAATTTCTAAATTTGCATGTCACTAACTTCAAATGATCAAACAATGTTGTACAATCAGTTTACCCAATATAATGCAAGAAATAGCAGAAGAGGATGAAGAGAAAGACAAGAGACATTTGCGGCGAATGATTGCTAAACAAGAAAAACTGAAGGCTCATCCACCTCGCCTTGGAAAGTACAAGTATGTAACTGTCTATGAGACATCTGATTGTCCAGTTTTTGTCCTTCCCCCACCCCCCATTGAAATCTTATAACACACATTCCTTCTCCCTGGTAGATTTGGTAGATTTGTAAGGGTGCATTTGTTTATAAAATAACTCAATCCATACTCAATTCACACTCAATATCTAACTGAACTTTAACCCAACTCCACTATCTTCAGTATTATCAATATAATTAAATAGTAACACTCAATCATTTTTACACATCACATCAACTTTAATTCACTATTCATACACTCACATAATTTTAACTAACCATCATTTCTCAACATATATCTCCCATCAAATCAACTTTAATTTATTTTATTTTAAATTTTGTTTTAATATAAACTCAACATCCCACTAACAACTAACCATACTACTTTTTTAAAAATTAACTCTGGTTAACCAAAAAAACTCGTTTTGAGCGGATATACTTGTATCCAAGCACGCCCTAAGTAAGCAAGACTACAACCTGAATATTTCTGAATTTGAATTGGTTTATACTGAATGTACATATGGGTTGATCAACTTCTTTTTTGCATGTGCATGCCACACAAGTATTTCCTTTTTATACGCATTTGTTCTCTGTTTTAGATTTGATCCTGCTCCTCTCCAAGTCCTGTTATCTGAAGAGAAAACTGGATCGCTTCGTCAGCTGAAGGTTTGTAATATGACTTTTGTTTTTGTATTTTATTCAGCACATTTATTCCAGAGCTTCAGGGTTGATAGCATTAGTGGCTTCTTGACTAACCTGCACAATTGTAATCTTTTGGGAAATAGGGTTGTTGCACTCTAGTGAGGGATCGCTTTAAGAGCCTGGAGAAAAGAGGGTTGATTGTGCCATCAAAGAAGAGCGGCAGGTTTGTACTATTGTGCTTTTGTGGTATCTTTTCCTTTTCTCCTTAATGACAAATATATATATATATATATATATATATACATATAAGTGTAATGCTAACAATATTTATAAATTTGTTCTCTCAGTTTGAGTTCTTTTACCTATTTGCAACCACTAGTCTTAATATTAGGTCTTCCATTGGGATGATGTGTAGTATATGTATGAATATCCCTCTCAGTATCTAAATGCAAAGTCTTTCGAATCCAAGTGTCAACTTCTGGTACTTCTTAATCTTGTCAATTTTATTTTTCAATTTTTGTTAATTTTTCTGGTGTTCCATAATCATATTTTTCAATTTTTGGGGTATAATGAACTAAATTCCTATTAGGACTTTTAAAATTATAACTTAAATACGTTTTAGAACTTAATAAGTTTATTGCTTGTTATTAGTTTTTCATATACGGTATAACAAATTAATCATGAAATAAAAAAATAATTATATCTTCCTTTACGACCAATTCTTACGTTTGACAGGTGTCATTTAAGATGAATTTACAATTTTAAATTATGATTTTTTTTTAGAAAAATTTAACTACAACTTTCTTTTTAACATCCCGTGTAATACATGACAATATTTTGAAACCCGACCCTAAAATTGATTTGGGCTGGCAGTTGGTTCAATTGCTGAACTGGGTTGACCTTGCTGGGTAAATGCCCGGGCAATCGGGTCACAACTGAGTGACCGAGTTTTGACCGGGTCCATTGTTTGCTGTTACCAAGTACCCACCCAGATTGGTCCCGGCTCCGAGTCGACTGGGTCGAAAAACTATTGACACATGGGTGTTGTACTATTATATTTCATTAGGTTCTGTTAGAATTTGTGTTTATGAATATGAGTTCCTATTATAATATTCTTAATGTTGACATTTTAATTTGCAGGAAATAAAAAAGTTGAATGGGTTTAGATGGACTAAAACGGAGCTCGTATCATCAAGGTGGGTGGTCTGAGAAAGTTAAAATGTTGTCAAATGTTGTCGAGTAGCCGGATAATTTGTTATCGTGTTACAAGTTAGATTGATAACACAAAATGTTTCCATTTTTTTTTTCTTTTTTCAATATGATTGTAATTTTCGTACTTTTTCTGGATATCTGAGTGGCAGATTACTAAAATGATAATTCTTCCGCCAGGCCCAGGAGTTTCTGCGTTCGAGAACTTAAGAGCATTCAAAAAGCTTAGCAAGGACTGCCTTATGATTATATATTCATATGTTCTGAAAATATTCTTGATATTTATTGCATGCATAACGTTGTTAACCATCTTCACTGGGTCTGCTACAAACAGGTAGTCCTTACAAGGATTGGTACCATACGAAATTGATACGATGAAATAATAGATGTAAAATGGTATCAATGCGGTACATGAAATTATTATATTTACTTATATATATATGATTCTATGAAAACATAGTCATAAAACATGAACAATGGTGTTAACCTATCAGATTAATACGTTGGGCATTCGGTCAATGCTAATCCATGGAACTAACTTGTGTAAATGGACATATATAAATAAAATATGTGTAATTCATATTAACCCTAAATAATAATAATAATAATTTTTATATAGTTCGATCGGTTTGATTATTTCATTTATTATAAAAAAAAGTCGATATCGAAATAAATGACCATGATTTCAAAAGAAAAAATAGACAATCGAGCGGAAAAATAAGATTTCGAATTGAAAATTTTAGTTCAATCGATTTCAATTAATAACGTGTAATTCAACTATTGTGCAACCTGATAGTCATTAATAAGCAATTCGCCTAACATTGTTGTGTAATCACATTGTATGTATTTTTTAATGACTTGCCCTATATCAAATGTGCATTCTCGAATGAATCAATTTGCATTTGTTATAGCATTATTATGCAGTTTGATATTCACTAATATGCAACATGTTTAAAATTATTGTTCTGCCGTCTAGATTTTTTATTTTTTTTTATGTTTTTTTTTACATGCAAATCCAACTAAAACCGAATCAATTTAACCGAATTTATCTAAATAACAGAAATATTTATTATTTATATTATAAAAATTATTTTATTATTTCAAAAGTTATTTATTATTTATGTTATTTTTATTTAATGTTTCATTTATTATTTCAATATATGACTAAAATAATATATAGAAATAATATTTTGTATTTACTTTTTGTAAATTACAAATTAAGCATATGGGCAAAAATTGAATACAATCAAATTTTATTAAATTTACAACTAGGTCCCTGAATAATATCAAATTTTCAAAGTGAAAACCCCATTACTCCTCCTGCCCAATCTCTCTCGGTGCCGCTGTCGCCTTAGACCCAACTGATAAGGCCGATTCTCCACTCCTCGCGAGGACGACGCGCCCTCCCATTCGCCGTCGGCGATCTAGTGACGTCAGAAATAACACCGCTGTGACGCCGGACAACCAGAGAGTCCTCTACTGGTCGTCAGGCGCAAGGTCGTGTCCCCTGCTGGCCGTGGTCGCTGGCGAGAGCGGCCCTCCGATTAGCGTCGTTCCACCTTGCCGGTCGTCGGCGTCGATGTGGACGAGGACGGTGGCGTCGGAAGGGAGCAGCGGTCAGCGGACGATGGCCGGTAACGGATTTCATGGCGGTGGTCGGGCTTCTACTCCCCGATGGTCCGCGCCGTCGCCGACGGCGGCAGTTCTGCAGCTTGTCCGGATGGTGGTGGAGGTCGTTGACGGAAAGTTGAGGCGGCGACCGACGGTTGTGTGTGTATGCGTGTGTGTGTGTGGGATTAGTGTGCGCGTGTGTGTATCGGTTTATTGTGTGTGTGTGTGTGTGAGAGAGAGAGACTAATAATGACAGTTGTATTGTATTAAATGTGTAGGTTGCTGTGAGACCACTATGTGGGTGGATGGGATAAATACTTAATGAAGGTATAATTTTTGGCATATTTTTAGTCATTGGATCATCTGATCAAATGACTACATGTATTCTTATTTTTGTTTATTGAGAACCTTTCTTACCGGAGCGCATTCCCGTTATCAATATAACATTATGAAAATTGTTAATCAGTGTAATAGAGGTGACAAATTGTATTTGTTTTTATTTATTCTATTTTATATTAACTAGTACAATATAGGTGATTATTTAGATGGGAGTAAAAAAATTTTTACTTACAATTTTATAAAAAAGTAATGAGATATTAGGAAATGCAATGTGAGTAGAGGTGTGGTTGCGAGCGAAAGTCTTATATGTTCCCGCCTATTTCGATGGAGATCAGCTTTGAACCAATCTCCTTCAACTCCACCACCCAATTTGAAATTCCCAAATCCCAATCACCTTTTGCGTTAATGGATACTGTGTGTGTGTATATGTTTCGTCTTGAAATCCGCTTCTATTAAATCGTGGAAGCATTAACTGATTTTCTGCTGTTTGATTTTCTGCAATTGTGAACTAATTATGGAGGATTATTTGAAGAAGAATTTCGAGGTGGATGCGAAGAGGCCATCCGAGGAGGCATTGAGGCGATGGCGATCGTCGGTTTGGCTCGTCAAAAACCCTCGTCGTCGCTTCAGAATGGTCGCCGACCTCGCCAAGCGAGCCGAGGCTGACCGCAAACGCCACAAAATCCAGGTCTCTGTGTGTGTTATTTGTGTGTTGCTACAGGTGTATGCATATGCATAATATTCTCGCAATTGGAATGGTCAGCTGGTTGTAGCTTATGCAACACGATGTCTAAATGCGAATTTTCTCATTTTTTTTCTTCTTTGGGATATATAATATATATTTCTTTTGCATCTGGCTTTAAATTGTTTAATTCGTTGTCCGTGGGCTGATTGAAGCTAGAAATTTGCATCATGTTCATTTTTTTTTTGTATTTATTTTTTGTTAATTTTCGTAGCATGGAAATTTCCTGCATATTGCACTGGCGTCTAATTTCTATATCATTTTGTGCCATTCACACGAAAAAGACACACACAACACGCTAATTGACCTGGATGGATATATATACTCTTGTGAATTTTGAATTTTCTGAACCTCAAATACACCCACGAACAGAGAAACCCAACAGAATCTGCCTGCAAATTGTTGTCACATTAGCTTACCTTTGTCTGACCATGATACAGGTTAACTGCCATTAATTTATTTGCTATGTTCGTTTCCAAATTTCAGGAGGCAGATGCCCTTTTTGCATGTGGTGGTCTATTTCTTATGGTTGCATCGTGCATGTGATGAACACTCTTTCTCTTGACTTTTGCGTGGACTAAACCTCATGATATTCCTTTATTTTTTGAAATAAAAAAATATGGCCTTGTAAAACAATCAAAGGTTTGTTTCTGTATAGATGTGTTTTGTCAGTTAAACAAACCAGAAAACGCTGTCTTGGTTTGTCAGGAAATGCAGGTGGTGGCGTTCGCAAATGAGCTTTAAGACTAAATTTAGGATTTTGGACAATTTGTGTTATAAATACATATATTTTGGAAAAGAAATCTTTTGCATAGGCAGTTAGTTTTACAGTCTCCAATAAATATTGAGTGTTCCATTCTTCATGAGACTGTGTGCAGCAGTACAAGAACGAACCTCACTTGTCTTCTGCATATGGCGACTGTATGCAACAGTACATGAAACAACCTGTGTTCTCCATATGGCGAATGACCCTATAAATATTAAGTTTGTGTACAAGATGTCAAAAATTGGAAATTGTGATAACATACCTTACGGTTAAGGAAGATTATTGGGTTTATCTTGGTGGAATTATTGAAGTTCACTCTTTTAGCATTTCCGCACCGTAAATTCATCTGCAGAATCATGCCTGGACAGATGCTTGCCTTAACTCTCTGTACCATAAGAGAATAATTTCTGAAAATTACAGGATATAGTTTTCAATTTCATATTTTCCGAGTAATCTCAATTCATTGGTTTTTTAATTTTTCTCCAGGAGAAGATCCGAATAGCTCTGTATGTGCAAAAGGCCGCACTTCATTTTATCGACGGTACCTACAAACACCACAGATTACATTATTACCCACTACAGCTCCATATTTCCTTCTCATTCTCAATTTTATGTTTTCTTTTCCGGTGTGTTATTGCAGCTGTTCACCGAACAGAAAAATATAAGGTCCCGAACGACGTTAGGGAAGCTGGGCTCGGAATCGGGTCAGATGAGCTCACCTCAATAGCACGTTCGCATGATTTAAAGTCTCTCGAATCCCACGGCGGAGCACAGGGATTGGCTAGAAAACTATCTGTCTCCCTCGAAAACGGTCTCCCTGCAAGCCAAATCGCGACAATGCAGAAATTTTTCGGCCAGAACAAATTCGTCGAGAAACCTCCCAGACCATTCCCCATGTTTGTGTGGGACGCCATGCAGGACCTCACCCTCATCTTGCTAATGGCATGTGCCGTAATTTCTGTTGGAGTTGGGATTGCAACCGAGGGTTGGCCCAAGGGAATGTACGACGGCATCGGGATCATCCTCTCCATTTTCCTTGTCGTGATCGTGACGGCCGTTAGCGACTACAAGCAATCGTTGCAGTTTAGGGACCTCGACAAGGAAAAACGAGACATAAAAGTCCACGTCACCAGGGACGGTGCCCGAGGGAAGGTCTCCATATACGAACTCGTCGTGGGCGATATTGTGAACCTGTCCATAGGTGATCAGGTCCCTGCAGATGGGCTTTTTGTGTCGGGCCACAGCCTGTCGATTGACGAGTCCAGCCTGTCGGGTGAGAGTGAGCCCGTCCAAATAGATGAAAAACGGCCCTTTATGCTGTCGGGCACAAAAGTGCAGGATGGGTCGGGTAAGATGCTTGTGACAGCAGTTGGCATGAAGACTGAATGGGGACGGTTGATGGTCACCTTGAGCGAAGGGGGTGAAGACGAGACCCCTTTGCAGGTGAAGCTGAATGGGGTGGCGACTGTTATCGGGAAAATCGGTTTGGTTTTTGCAGTTTCGACGCTTTTAGTGCTTACCGTTCGGTTGGTTGCTGTTAAGGGTATGAATGGCTGTATAAGGGATTGGTCGGTTAGGGATGGTATGGATTTTCTGAATTTCTTTGCTATTGCGGTCACAATACTGGTGGTGGCCGTGCCAGAAGGGCTCCCACTGGCAGTCACGCTTAGTTTAGCCTTTGCCATGAAGAAGCTAATGAAGGATCGAGCTCTCGTGAGACATCTGTCGGCCTGCGAGACCATGGGGTCTGCCACCAGCATCTGTACTGATAAAACCGGTACGCTGACGACGAATCACATGGTAGTGACTAAAATTTGGATGTGCGGAGAAGAGAAAATTGTTGATGACAACATTTTGGACACTTCAATATTAATATCTGAGAATCTAACGGAAATGCTTACGCATGCCCTGTTTCTGAACACGGGGGCCGAGGTCGTGAGGGGTAAAGATGGGAAGACAGAGGTATTAGGTTCACCGACGGAGACGGCTCTTTTGGAATTCGGCCTGCGGTTTCGGATGGATTCTGATGTGTCGAGACGGGATTCGGAGATTATAAAAGTCGAACCTTTTAATTCGGTCAAGAAGAAGATGTCAGTGCTCGTGGGACTCCCGGGTGGCGGCAGGAGGGCATTTGTGAAAGGTGCATCAGAGATTATTTATGGAATTTGCGACAAAGTTTTGGGGAGGAATGGGGAATCGGTTCCCATGTCGGGAAAAGAGAGGGAAAATATCGTGAAGGCGATTGATAGTTTTGCCTGTGCGGCTCTGAGAACGCTTTGCTTGGCTTTTAAGGATGTGGAGACAACATCTGACGAGTCTGTTATTCCTGAAAATGGTTACACTCTGATTGCAGTTGTTGGGATTAAGGATCCTGTGCGTCCAGGTGTGAAAGAAGCTGTCAAGACTTGTTTGGCTGCTGGTATTACTGTTCGGATGGTGACGGGGGACAACATTAATACCGCGAAGGCCATAGCTAGAGAATGTGGTATCTTGACTGATGATGGTATAGCTATTGAAGGGTCCGATTTTCGCGACAGGAGTGTAGAGGAAATGAAGGATATCATACCCAAACTGCAGGTATAGTGGAGTTGGGTAAAAAGTTCCTGCAGTGAAGATCATTAGTGTGATTATTTGCGATTCTTCTTTTTGTCCAGGTTATGGCGCGTTCTTTGCCGTTGGACAAGCACAAACTTGTGACTGTTTTAAGGAAAGAGTACAAAGAAGTAGTGGCAGTGACTGGCGATGGGACTAATGATGCTCCAGCTCTCCATGAAGCTGATGTTGGGCTAGCCATGGGTATAGCTGGAACTGAGGTTTATATCTACAAAACACCAATATTATTTGTTTTCCAGCTGAAGTTTCCATGTTTTAATGTATCTTCCTTTTTCCATGGCTATAAGCAAAAGACGTGCCTCTGATTGTTTCATTTTTCGAGTACTTTATTTGGGATTATGACCAAAACTCCTCCTGATTTTAGCCTATTTATCTTTCGAGGCTACTGAGCTGTTAAATATCCTCAGGTCGCGAAAGAAAGTGCAGATGTCGTGGTAATGGACGATAATTTCTCGACCATAGTGAACGTCGCCAAGTGGGGCCGCTCAGTCTACATCAACATCCAAAAGTTTGTCCAGTTCCAGCTGACCGTAAACATCGTGGCACTCATGACAAACTTCATTTCCGCATGCATCTCAGGTATCAAATCAATCCACACATCCCTAATTCGAATACTGTAGCAATTCATTATGATCCGATTTCTTTTAAACGATTTAATTTATGCATTTCATTTATTAAAGGTTCGGCACCTTTGACTGCCGTGCAGTTGCTGTGGGTGAACATGATAATGGACACACTGGGGGCATTAGCAATAGCTACCGAACCTCCGCATGACGGGCTTATGGAACGGCCGCCAGTGGGGAGAAATGTGAATATCATCACCAGAGTTATGTGGAGGAATATAATCGGGCAAAGTATTTACCAGATGGCCGTGCTTGGGGTGCTCACCTTTGACGGCAAGCGCCTCCTGAGCCTTGATGGCCCGGGTTCCGATGCCACGCATAAGACCCTGATATTCAACACCTTCGTTTTCTGCCAGGTCAGAGATTTTTAGAGTTTATTATGTTGTTAATGAATTTTATTGTGCCATATTTGCTTCTAATGATACTGATCCAGATTCATTTAAAAGGAAGTGAGAACCGTGTTTGTATACAAATATATCTGCTCAAAAAGAATTTTTTTGGTTAGCTAGAGTTAATTTAAAAAAAAAAAAGTTTGTACTGTTAGTGGGATTTTAACTTTATATTAAAATAAGATTTAAAATAAAATAATTAAAATGAATTTGATGTAAAAGTAGGAGAGAGATGATTTGAAATGATAGTTAGATAAATTATGTGAGTAGATGAATAGTAAATTAAAGTTGATGTGATGTGTAAGAATGATTGGATGATATTATTATATTATATTAATAATATTAAAGATAATTGAGTTGAGTTAAAGTTTAGTTAGATTTTGATTAAAGTTGAGTATGGATTGAGTTTTTTGGTAAACAAATAGATTTCCGATTTTGCTTCGTGCTTGGCTTACTGACAGTACGATTCTGCTTCTTTTTAACACAACCGACTTCTGATTCTCATCTATTTCCTCTTTTCCAACCGTAAAATCACATCTTCGAAGCAGACTTTTCACAAATAATCTCATAGTGTTGAACTGTCCACACAAACTTGTATAAACTTTTGTATTGCACTCTTTTCCTGCCACACGCTCACAACTCTTTCTGTTTATAAAAACGACAGGTTTTCAACGAGATCAACAGCCGTGACATGGAGAAAGTAAATGTATTCCGGGGCATGTTTGGTAGCTGGATTTTCGTCATTGTCATGGCCAGCACAGTGGCTTTCCAAGCTGTCATGGTTCAATTTCTCGGCAAATTTGCCAATACTGTGCCCCTCAGTTGGGAGCTGTGGTTGGTCAGTGTATCTATAGGCGCTGCCACCTTAGTTGTCGGCACTGTCTTGAAATGGTTCCCAGTTTCTATGAAGAACACCCAAATCATTAGACATCACGACGGATATGAGCCATTGCCTTCGGGGCCTGAACTCGTGTGAAAAAAAAAAAAGAATAAATAAATGCAATCAAATCTCCTTTAATTTTGGACATATTTTGAAACTATATTTTCTTTTCACGCCACAAAAATTGTGTAAATGAACGCATCATTCTTTTGTTGATTGATTTAATCTATAAGCATCAAATAAATAATTTTATTTGGGAGTGGGTGTGTAGTTTTGGTAAGTGAAAGTAAAAGTAAGGGTTATACAAGAGATTGGCACTGCATAAACAATAGGAGTGTAAATAAGCTGAAATGTTTGATTTATGTTGCATAATTTTTCAGCCATTTTTACTGTATAAAGCCATTATTAATAGCCTAAAGCCAGTTAAAAGTCAAGCTGCCCCAAAAATTGTGAGTTTGAGCATTTCGGAAGCAGCACAAGAGAACCAGATTTCGCAAGAATCTCAAGGAAGTCATCAAAGCAAGAAACAGAAGCTGCAGCTGAAAGTGTGAAGAGGCATACTAAAAACATAAATGAAAAGTTACACTTGAAATTAAAGCGTGAAGAGGATTGACAAATATCCCTCATATAGCACTTGGTACCCAACTCTGTTTGGGCTTTTAATATGGGTCAAAAACCTATTAAAGCAAAATTTGTAAGAAAAATATTACAAAGAATGGACCCACAACCCAAATCACTATCGGCCCAGCCTATTGAAGATCGTTCAAGTCCAGTACAAAGAACAAGGGCTAAGGCCAAGGTCTATGCTCGTACCTGAACTGAGCCGACCAACAGATGAGTGCATGGTTGAATCTTGCACCCACACTTGGCACATAAATTTAGTTGTTACTAGGGTTGTAAACTAATCGAATCAAAGTGAATACTAAGATATTCGATTCGGATTTATTAAAATATTTGAGGATTTGAATTCGTATTCGATTCGTTAACGAATTCATTTTTTGATTCGTATTCGATTCGTTTAGAATATTCGAACGTATTCGGTTCGTTTCGAAATTCGTTTTCAGAAAAAATATTATAATTAAAAACAAATTATAATTACAAAATAATATTTATTTTTCCATATATTTTTAGGAAAAATTGTTAATTAAGGATATTTTTACTTTTATATATCATAAAAATATTAGGAATATAACACCATATATATACATATATATTATAAACAAAATGTATATAATTTATAAAATTTATATAATTATTGTTAACGAATCGAATATTCGAATTTCGAATCGAATATCTACAAATTCGAATTCGGATTCGTTTAACTTTCGAATATAAAATATTATTCGTATTCGAATTCGAATCTCGAATCGAATAAAAAAAAAATTAATTTGCTTACAAGCCTAGTTGTTACATCTCCCACTAAAGAATTTAACTTGAGCTACAACACTTTGATCTTTCTAATCCCTCAATCAACTTTTAAATTCATTAAATGATCAATTTTAACTATTTATTACTCACTATGAGAAAAAATAAATATATATACATCTACTTGCAACATATAATTTTTCTACATAATTTAAATTAACAAAATTTTATTTTTTGCCACATAAAATCATTTAAAATAGTATCAAACCTATTTTCATTAACGGTTT